AAAAAATTTGCTCTCGCATTGCTAATGAGGGTCTTGGAAATTAAAATTTTAAGTTTCTCTTAATTATTTTGCATAAAAGTTGGCTTATACTGTATCACATTGACCACTGCATTATTGGACTAATTGTTCTTTCTAAATTGTGACCAAAAAGTGCAATATGTATACTTAGATTTCTAGGCAAATCATTTGAAATCCTTCTTACCCTCATGAAGATTGAAATGTCTAATTTGTATTGTGAACATCTTTGTTTACACTTGACAGCTGATAATAATAATTGTTATTATAATACTATACAGTGGACCCCCGCATAACGATTACCTCCGAATGCGACCAATTATGTAAGTGTACGTATTTATGTAAGTGCGTTTGTACGTGTATGTTTGGGGGTCTGAAATGGACTAATCTACTTCACAATATTCCTTATGGGAATAAATTCAGTCAGTACTGGCACCTGAACATACTTATGGAGTGAAAAAATATCGTTAACCGGGGGTCCACTGTATATGATTTCTATTGCTTATTCTTTGACAAATTTATCAGGTAGTTGTCAACAACAGATAAGAGTTCTTAAAATGATATCTTGGTTAAATGGATCTGTGTGCTTCTGAATGACTGACACCAGACATTCCTTGTCTATAGCAAACTGCTCTGTAGCCTCTTTAGGCATCTCTAACATGATAGTAGTTGGTGTTAATTTTACAGTTGGTGCAGTCTAGTGTTAGCATGCTTTCCATCTCACCTGGTAGGCATCAGCAGACTAATATATTTCTTAATCTACCATAGATCAGAGGGGAAAGCTACAGTCTGTGAAACACCAAGGAAGTCAGAATTACAGGCCTGAAGACCAAAGTCCAAGTAATCAAATGAAGCTCACATAATACCTGGGAAGGATGGTAAGTAATTATTCTATTTAAAAAAACTGTACCTATGTTTTTAACAGCATATTTAAAATAGCTGGTGATGCTAGTACCAGGCTTGCTGGTTGGCCAGCTGACCCTTGTGGGTTATGTAGGCTTTTATTGAGATTTTGTATACATAGTATACAAATATTTTTTTGTAATGGTCTTGAGAGCACACAGGTGTTATGGAGACATAAAAAGGACACTCAGTAGATTTAACCTAGGATAATCCAATAGTCAAATGTGACTTACTTCCGTTGGAGTTTCTCAGCATGTTGATACAAGAGGTTCCCTATTGTTGAGTAAAAACTGCTTTCTTAAGTTTCTGGGCCCTAGTTTTTCCCAGTCTGTATTACCATAATTGATCCTCCTAAAGCAGCAACATTGTCACAGTTGAGAAGCTTGGGTTACTGTCTGTGACCCACCACCCTTCAAGTAAGAAATACCTTGATGCTGGTGAAAGGGCTCTTGAGCCACAGGATTAGAGCTCCTCTTCCTTGGAAAGGAAAATCTACATAATTAACACCAATGTCGCTCATGTAAATCTTTGTCTTGAGCTTGGCTCCCTCAAATAAGCTGTAAGTGGTAAATTTTGGTGCAGTGTGCACAGCTTAAATAATCCTGTCCCATCTAGTGCTTCATGGAAAATCTGACCTGGTGTTAGGTTTAAAATAGTGACTTTGAGGTGTATTTTAGTGGGTTTTCTGGTTTTACTGCAGTTTCTTGGTATCAGTTGATAGAATGGAAGACATGCTAGTGAAATAGTTATTATGATTTTAGTTTGTTTCAGACCAGGAGTAACTTGAAATACAGCTCATAGTGGCAGAAATATTCAGTTTTTGAGATTTTCCTGAGGATGGGTAGGGCTTCCCTGGCCCAACTTATAGGTTTTTACTAGGTCTGCTTCAGTTATTGGAACATCATAAATCATAACCAGTCACTGTTGATTATATTTTATTAGTCTGAGAAATAGAGTAAAACTTCAATTTTTTTGTGATGGATTCGAAATGGAGGGCATGTGTTATATAAGAGAAGCCTGGGGACATGATTAATTAATAGAGGAAAGGTTGCTTTAGCAGTTGAAATGCCTAATGTTTATTTTGGAGTATTTTTAGATTAATTTTTTTTTAATTTCAAGTAAAATTAGCCAAATTACTGACTAGAGTAGTTCTGATAGTTAAATGGGCAGGTTTGTGCTAGGGTCAATAGAATGGAAGACATTCTAGTGAAATAGCTAGAAATTGGGTCAATTTGAGCATTGGAATTGGCTTAAAATATAATTCGAGAATTGGCAAAATTGCCAATGCTTAAATTGCACCCACTGTTCATTAACTGCATCCCCTTGTCTGGCCTACATAACTCTTACCTCCATTTTGAATCCGGTATCACACAAATTCAAGTTCTACCCAATTTCTCGGATGATAATATATAACCAAGAATGAATGGTTATGGTTTAGGCCATCCCAGTAATTAAAACAAACCTAGTAGAAACCCATAATATAGACTGGGGGGAAGGGGGGCTAGGGAAACTGATCAAAATCATCACTACTTCACTAGTATATCTTCTATTCTATCAGTTGATACCAAGAAACAGACAATCATACCATAAAAATCACCCTAGAAAACACTGTCACTATTTTAAATCAAACATGCAGTGAGGCTTTTTTTTATATACATTGTGTGGGGCAGGATTTTTTTTATTATGCATACTGATTCTTTCATATCTACGTCAAAATTTACCACTAACAGCACATTTGAGGGAGCTGTGCTACAACGTAGGTCTATATTAGTAACACTGTTGCCAGTGATGCCAGTGTTAATTTTTCTTCTGTTTTTATTGCATTTTCTTCATACTATCCATTCCAACATTTTTTTATTTTCACTCTTGCAGAAGCCAATATTCCACCTCTTGCTGTCTGTCATTTCTGTCTCTCCATTTGTTACTCTCCTTATTCCCTTTTATTCATATTATACCATCAATATTGTTCTACACACCTACATTATTATTACAGTATTATATTCACAGAAAGATCTAAACCACTCTAGGTTACTAAACAAAATACCCACAACAATTTTCTTTATTCTGGAGTATTTGTTATTACTCACCTTTCACCTCTCACTAACCTTTCAGAGTGCAAGCACTGCCTTTCACACTTTCAGGACTTAGTCTGGTTAATGAATTTCCCTGAATATCTTCATATTACCATTAATCTCAATTCACCCTTAAATAACATGCTAACACAAGCCTGCTGGATGCTCAAAGCCTCCTTTACCCCCCCATCAACCATTCCTGGAACAGCCCATACCTCTCCTGCTTTCTACCCCAGAATTATACACCCTCTTTGTCATCCTATCACTTTCCATCCTCTCTAAAATGCCCAAACTACCTCAGCAACTTCTCCTCAGCCCTTTTAATAATACTCTTGGTGACCCCCACAATGCCTGTTAATTTCTACACTTCTGACCCTCTGCATAATATTCACACCATACATTGCTCTCAGACATGACATCTCCAGTTCTCTAGCTTCCTTCTTGCTGCAATGTTTGAAGACCATGCCTTACACACCCAAACAAAGGTGTTGGTTTTAGTAACCTACCACTTATTACATACATTTGCAAAATTTGCCACATAGCCTCCCTGTTGACCATATTGTATGCCTTTTCTAAATCCATTTATGCAGCAAACAGCTCACTTATATGCTTCAACATTAACACTTGGTATACACATGCTCTACCCTTCCTAACTCCTTCCTGCTCCTTTGCATTCCTTATTTGTCTCTTACATCTAACCCTTTTAATTATGCTTCTACTGATATATGTAGCACTTGGGTATCTTCATTACCAAAGTGTTTCAGCTGCACAGCAAGCTTCTTCAGTTGAATATAAGGGGGACTGTAACACTGGAGACAGTAGCAGCAGTAGTTTTAACATGATCAGTCCCTCAAGCCTTAAGTATAGGTATGCAGCCGGACCTTGTATACTAGAGCTTGTAGACCGACAAGGCTGATGGACTGATTACATCACTACTACTACTACTGTGTTATATTTGCCTGCATTCAACTGAAAAAGTCTGTTGTGCAGGCTAAATGTTTGAGGACTAAAGATACCAAAGTGTTACAAATCTTTTATTCTTAACATTGTCAGCAATAGTATAATTCTACCATACAATTTACCTGGTATACTCAGCAGACTTATCCCCCTGTAATTCTTACACTTTTTCTTGTCCCCTTTTCTCTGATATGAAACACTAGTCATGCTCTATGACAATTCTTAGGTACCTTGCCTTCTTTCATGCATTTATTAAACATATAGACCAACCACTCCTCCGCTTCCACTTGCTCTTAACAGGTCTTCGTCTCATCTGTCCCAGCTGCTTTACTCCCATTCTGCCCATTGCATCATACACTTTTTTCCAGTTATCCCTCCCTTCTCAGTATATGAAATCACTTTATCAGTAGTAGTATTAGTATAATCAGGAGTTAGCATTAAACCTGTAGAAGTCATACAGCTCATGGGGTAATGGGAGGTGATCCAGATTGATCCAAGGGAGGTGAAGATAGATTCACTTTCTTGGATCAGAAGCCCCCTTCCTTGAGGGGCCTTGTATTAAAAAATATCTTGCTTTTCATCATTTTCACTACATATAAACATGTACAGGTGTGAAATGTTGGTGGTGGAATGAACACTAGTCAGTGGAAATGAGAAACTTACTTTATACACATCTTCAAGTAAATTTCCCCATTGCTATGCACATAAGTATACATACAAACATTTATGTTCATAGTAAATAATTTTAACATTCAAGCCTCTTATTGTCTCGCCCTTTTCATTCTTTGCTGCCGCTTCATCCAGGGACTAAACACACAGTGCAGAGTTCACCTTTTTTATATGACATTTTGCTCAGGATTGAGCTTTGTCAGGTCTGATAGTGATATCTGGTAAAGCTCAAACCAGAATTGAACCACTGAAAATATAGACTTGCTCTGAATTATGACTACACCCACTTGGTGCCTTATTGCCTCAGTCACCACCATATCACTCCTTACATTCTTGGGTCTACCTTGGTTATTCACTCTTCGAGGTTATAACAAAAGGCATCCCTAACCTTTCCTCTGTATTTATTTATTTATTTATACAATTGTAAAAGTACAGAGAGGCAAACATGTACAGTGTGTATACTCTCAATTCACAAAAATTTCCAGGAAAATATACATTATTTTACATCACCCAGAGTAAAGGCAGCATTTATCTCATTCACATTAAAATTACACATCTTATGATCCTCATCTTGTCCCATTTGAACCATAGTTGCTAGTATTCTCAAATTCATATCTAGCCCTTATTATTATATACATCTCTTCATACACCCATCTATTCTCTGGTAGTGCCACTTCCTGTTATTTCTGATAAATACCTACTTAGTGCCTTAATATTCCTTAACATGCATTACTTATATATGCCTGTATTCATTCATTCCACACATCATAACACTTGTACATTATTCACTAAGTGGCTGCAGGAATGCAACCTTCATAGGATGCTCCCTATGTTATTGGATACATTATCATTTTATCTCTGATAACAGAAAGCTGCCATCTTAAGCATCCTTTGGCAGAGTTTTATTTTGCTAGATTCCACACATGCTTCTCCTTTGTTCAAAGTTGCAAACCAGGTTTCTCAATCTACCCAATTTCTTCTCTGATTGTACTTCATCACTCTGAAGTAAGCAATGCCAAGATGCTCATCTATCTTTCCTTAAGAGGTACTTGTATATACAGTAACTCCTTTGTCCCCATTCAGTATGTACAAATGGGAATAAAAACAATTATTTCTCCCACTGTATTAACTTTACTGGAGTTAAAAGACAAGTTTTCATCATCTTCACAAATTGAATAGTGTGAAGAAATTTTATTGTATTACATACAAATAACCTTACCTGTTTATAAAAGAAAATTAGTTTACAAAATAAAACTTTATAATGAAGACTCTTAGAGCAGGGTAAAGCAACAGTAATCTGGTTGACTCAGTTACCCACTACTGTTTGTGGGAGAACTAGGGGGATCTCCACCCTATGGTGGAGTCCATAAAGTCTTTGTGTTCCATACTACCCTTTCTGAGAATGAATGAATTTTATTTTTTTCATTGCAAATTTTTTTTGTAACATTCTTTTCGTTTGTGTATACTGTACTTGCCAAGACAATCCGTACCCTTTCCACACCTTGTATCTCAAGTGTATATATTACAGCTGGTTGTGATCAGTGAACTAAAATTTAAAATCATCACTATCCTGTTTCCCAATGTCATGTAGTGGGAATCTAAAATGTATTAATTTAAAGTCTTTCTATAGTTTTAAACATGAATTTATGAAGACAAATTAGAGCTTGAAACATTTGATAGTTTCTGCATATGGCCACCCCTGAAAAGGGAGCTCTCTTAACAGAGCAAGTACTCAGTGATATACGAAAATCAATTAATGTGACACTAATCAGCTAGGATATCAATAAATGATTAAAATGACAAAATCTACATATTGTGAAAGGAATGCAAAAATTTTGGGTGCATAAAAATAAAATTTCTAAAATCATGTCCTGTTAGAGTAGGAAACAATACTGATGCATCTAAACAAATTTTATATCAATTTAATTGTGCATTAGAATATAAATAAATGGTTTAAAAATATTTAAGGATACAGTATATCATCCAAGGATAGATAATGGAGGTACATGGTGTAGCCTTTGAAATCATTTATTTGATAACATTCATACCTAATAGTAAAAGTTTGTATGTTACAGTACATATAAACAGTGCTTCTTCGTCTCTGGCACAGTGGGTCAGCCTCCCTGCCTTTGGCCACACGGGAGGGGGATAGTGCATGCTGCTTGATGCATTAAGGCCAATGAATCAATTACATTATGGTATACCAAAAATCTTACCCCTATTATTACTATTTTGTTTTTAATCCGAAAGCATCAGCAACGAGCACTACCCCTGAACCACTGGCCTGCTGGTATACTGAGGGACCATGGCGGGCAGCCGTGACACTGAGCGATTACTAGGTCATTGCCTTGTTTAAGGAATGGGTCAGTGTCACGGGTAGTGGCTACAGCATTTTAGTAAATGCAACCAAGAATATCCTGTACCTGACACTAAAATAATCTAGTTTGAGCTTTCAGATGAACCTTAAAACACAAATGGGTCTGCAGCTCACTGCAGAATCTAACAAAACATCATGGTAATTAATATCATGAGGACTGGCTTTCCTTGCAGCCAAAATACTTACAATGCAACTTATGCATGACAATACAAAAGACAGTAATGTACATGTAATTCACACTCACATAGCAAAGAGGTTAGAATGGTTAAGTAAACTAAGTGAAATGAGTGAATGGAATGCTTCCAGGCAAGAGACAAATTGGGCAATGGACAATAATACAAAACGGTCCTCATAGAAAATGGGTTGTAGCTGAGAGAGCAGGGCAATTGGCAACAAATTACCTACAGGAGTATGGGTGATGGGATATACCTTGCACTCAGTTTTACTTGCCCAATTTGCCACGCTTGGAAACATAAGTAGCACTTATCTTTCGCCTCCACAATTGATTCTAATGTACAAGCACACAACTCTTGCTCAAAAAATGAAATTAATGTAATCTTAGAAATAAGGTGGGTGTCTCAAAATGACCCATCCTGCATAAATAAGGTGGCTAAACAATGAAAACAATAACTGGTTACATGAAAAATATCCTTAAAATGTGTAAGAATGCACCAATTTTGCAGTCTTTCCTATACCGTCCTAAAGGGGAGAAAAAGTAGCAAGATTGTACTACATATACTATTACAAAACTGGAACATATACACAGCAAAAATACACAGTATCTCTACAAGAATTGTGAGAAAATTACGTATTTTGGTACAGGACGGTATTGGAGAGTCCATCTAGGCAATACATTTACAGTTATTCATAAGTATTCAATACAGGAGGTTTATTCTTGCATCATTCACTACAGCGAACAGCGAGAAGAGACAGAAGAGAGCTTTAAGTTACATGGAGACAACTACGGTATACCTCAGCAGCTCAGAAAAATCAGGAAACGAGATGACGGCCCTTTAGCTGACTACAGGAGTCAAAATAACGCTAACAGTTCATGAAAAGAGGGCAGGCTACTCTGCTTATTCTTTGTAGTTATACTTTTGTCAATGAAGAACATTGTTTTTCGTATACTGCAGTATTATCACTGTATACTTGTGGTCTAGCTACCTTGCACTACTCCTGCACTACCCATACAAACATGCGCACTTGGCAGCCTCGGGTCCTTTGGGCCACCACTGGTGCACCACCTAGATCCGATACTGCCCTTACACTACCGTACAAACCGTATGGAAAAGGACTTAACATTACCAAATGTTAAACGGATTGCAAAGAGTATTAGAATTTTCTATCCATACTAATAATATACAGTTACACAAGACCATCTATCTTTTTTCCCTTTTCAAGTCTTATTTATCCATATAAAAATAGACCTACATCAAAGTTCCAGGTCCTCAAGTGTTCATTATCCAGTGTATCACAAGATCATCTGTGTGGTCTCATCTTTCCTACGTAATACCCTGCATCAATCGGGCAGTACCATAAAGGTACTGCCCCACCAACCGTGTCTTGCTGCGGATGGGCCGGGAGGTGCCACACCGTTGTTTTCCTACAGCCATACCTACATCACAAGCACTTGCAACCTGGGTTGGCTAAAATGGTGATGTAAATGTGGTCATCTGCCTCTCGGCCAGGTGTGGCCAGCCAAAGACCATGAAGGAAATTCCACGGACAAGGGAAGGCCACACCCTCCGACTTCCACAAGATCAAGAACACAGTAACTCAAGCCAGTCAGAGACCAGCACATACACACATTACACAATCCATCGGAACACAATTGAACACAAACAAAAACAACAGAAACATCCAATGTGCATTGAAACAACAAACAGACATCTTGAGAGCCAGTTCGGTCTGACCATTACTTTCTTCCAATCTTGGTGCTGCTGCCGTCCAGAGTACGTATACTGGGTTGGATGGGGCCCACTGGGCATTGTGTCCTATAGCCACGCCAAGGTGGGGTGGACCGCCCAGTGGAGCATGTGCAGGGCCGGGGGGGCAGCCGGGCCTCACTGGCCACGCTCCCCTATGCTACATGGATACAGAGGCTTGTACGGGTCGCCGCGGACCGCCTGGTGGACCGCACCAACCTGGGTGGTCACGCGGGGCGGGAGGGCCGCTAATCACGCTGTAGCCCACCTCGCCGGGGGTGACGCAAAGTACATCTGGCTCAATCGCCAATGAGGAACATGTTTGTATTTTTTAAAGAATGTTCAAACAGCAGAAACTTTATTAAAAGCCTACACATATAAGCAACACGAGTGTGACTATCACATACCAACCGTATACATGGTTCTGGGGCTCCCTGGTACTGGGAGGGTCCACTACCACTGTACCCACCTTCACCTCCCATGCCACCTTCTGTTTCACACATTTAAAACTGGCTATAAAACATACTTTGTTACCTGCTGATTTTCTCATTCATTCATATTTACATTACTTCATATTGTATACAAGATTAATGCATCACAAGCTCTTCCAGTTAACTGAATATGCTTGGACCCTTAACACAGAAACTGGTCTAGTTGTCAGGTGTAATATGGCTGGGTGTGCTCACAGAAGTGTGACCATGGATGGATGGGGTTGGGCATCTGCGTGGACAAGTGGATATTAAGATGGCGTAGCGCTATGGGTCATGAGAGCGTCACCCATGGGCGAGTGGTGGGCGTGGATAGCGGCAGTGTGGTGTGTGGAGTGGCCGTGGGTGGCTACCCGCCCCGGCTCTCGTATACTATGGGCTGGGCGGGCCCCGCTGGTCCCGCTCAGCTGCAGGGCGCACGGCGGCGGCCCGCTGCCTGCACACTGGGCTGACAGCTCTGATCACTGTTGCCTGAGGTGGGCCACATGCAGCCCATGTGGCCAACATACCATAATGTGGTTAGGCCAGAAAAGAGCCACATGCAGCCCGATCGTGGCTGGTGAGCCGGAGTTACACGGCCTGCACTGTGTGTCTGAAGGATGGGTGGGCCGCGGGAGGTAGTGTGGGGGGCGAGGGAGGGCAGCCTGGAACCTAGGTTGGTCACCACTGTTACTTCAGGAAGTTTAGCACAAGGCCAACCAGGCCACCCCACCGCGCCGGCCCGGACTCCACAACCCGCTAACCGCCCACGCGTCTTATTGCTGCTGAAACAAAAGAAAATAATTAGTTAACATTAAAGAGAAATGAAATACATAGTGCAATATATTGTACGGTACAATGTGGTGTATGTAAAAGTCTTCGTGCTCAGACCTTCACTTCACGATTAAACTACATGATACGACACACAACGCTCTTAAATTAAGAAGAGGTGGTCGTGCAAATATCAAGATGCATTACCATGAGAACTGATTAATGCAAGTTAGTACATATAACACCTCAACAATGTAGGTTAAAAAGAAAACTATTAAGCTGAACAGTTCAGTGGAATAAGCTGCAATTAACATGCTGAGAAAACAATTTTTACCGGAGCATTTAAAAGGCACAATCTATACCTCATGTAAGGTAGGCTATGTCAAGGAATACAGAACATCATCTAAACAAGTCATTAATTAGAAGATTGCATACAGAACCATGCGACAAAACTATTTCTACATGGAGGAGCCATGACAACAGACTAACACTACAGAAACTCTGGTGCTGCAGGTTAATCTCACACTGTAGCTATCAACATACAGGCCAGCAAGGTGTAGCAGCAAACAGCACAGCAAAACTAATACATTACTAATTTGCCCATGCAATACACAAGTTTATAAGACAAATCAGCTTCTCATACAGGAAGCCCATTACTCCCATAAAACACTGCACTAACTATACTAAAGACTGACCCTCAATACTGTGGTCAGATACATTCTGGGAAATAACGAGCCAGGGATTATGAAATGTCATCAACTAACTTTAGGGTGTGGGTGGAGGGCGGGCTGGGCGTGGGCGGATGTATGTGTGCCGCCTACACATCTGGCGACTCCGGGTGGAGGTCGTAGCCCATGCCCTGGCAAGGAACACCCATGGGTCAATATAAATGTAGGGGAGGGGTGAGCAAGATATGGTTAAACCTTCCAACAGAAACCAAACAAACCTCAATAGACAACGTTATATGACAAATTAACAAATGCTTTTGCCATCAGTCTAATTATTTATAACCACATACTGTATATACAAATTTCACTCCAACACTGAGGTAAACAATTTCCAGAATATTTTCATTTATTGCAGCCAAACTCAAAATTAACACAATATAGTATACAAGGTGTAATTCACAAAGTTAACTTCCTTTAAAGCACAATAGCCAAGTCGTGTAACATTAAATAAATGAAAAAATAAAGGCACAATATCATGACCTGCACATAGGAGAGAGGAGCTTACGACAACGTTTCAGTCCAACTTGAACCACTTGCAAAGTCACATGGTGCAACTTTGTAAATTGCCCAAGTCAGGTTATTTGTGTATTAAATACATGAACACTAAAATAGTTCTTTAATACTACCACAATACTGATTATCATATTCACGGGGAAGCGCTAAACCCATAGGGATCATACACTGCCTGGGAAACTGGAAAGCGTTGAGGCTCAAACTCAAGAACTGGAGCAGAGGTTTAATTTCTTGGATCAAGAGCCCCCTCACTAGCAACAAAGAACCTCCCCCGATACTGAATGGTCAATTACACGAAGATTTTTATAATTACAGTAAAACAAAATCGGCATGCTCTCTTAACACTTATTGTTGACATTCCCCAATTTAAAAGTCCCTTCTATTTCAACATTTAAAATAATCTAAAATGGTAAAGAATCATTTTCTCAATAATAATGATGACGCCCCAATGTAAAATTTAGGGGACTATACAGGCATAAATGACCACTACCCTATTCAGTACCCAAAAATTGGTAATTTGGCAAATTTTACACTGTTTTTACAATAGCTGTAGGCATTCCAGCCACTAAAGCAACTTTCTCTTTGTTCATTAATCACATCCCCAGGCCTCTCCTATTTAACACTTGCCCTCAATTTTTAAGCCATCAACACAAAAAAATTTAAGTTTTCCAAATTTTCCTGCTAAGAACCCATAACCAAGGATGTTTGTTAATGGTTTAGGCTTTCCAAATAACTGAGGCTGACCTAATAAAAACAAAAAAGGAATGCAGCGAGATATCTGTGGAGAAAAAAAAAATATGTTATCCATGGAAGCAAAGAAGGGAATGTAAGAAAGTATAGTGGTACCAACCCTTGTGGCTTAGCGCTTCTTTTTGATAATAATAATAATAATAGTGGTACCAACACACTTAAATGGGTGTGAAGCATGAGTTGTGAATGCTGCAGTGAGAGGGGCTGGAGGTAGTGGAGATGTCATATCTAAGGGCAATGTGTGGTGTAAATGTTATGCAGAGAATTCATAGTGTGGAAATTAAGAGGAGGGGTGGCGTTACTAAAAGTATTATTCAGAGGGTTGAAGAGAGGTTATTTAAAGTGGTTTTATCATTTAGAGAGAATGGATCAAAATAGAATGACTTGGAGGGTGTATAAATCTGAAGAGGAGAGGAGGGGGTAGGGATTGTCCTAGGAAATGATAGGAGGGAGGGGGTAAAAGAGGTTTTGTATGCAAGGGGCCTACACCTGCAGCAGGCATATGTAAGCATGTTAGATAGGAGTGAATGGAGATGAATGGTTTTTGGGACCTGACAAGCTGTTGGAGTGTGAAGGGATTCAGGGAAACCAGGTAGCTGGTCTCGAGTCCTGAAGGTGAGAAGTACAATGCCACTTTAAAGGAGGGATTCGAGATATTGGCCGTTTGGAGTGACATCTAAACTGTTATGTCTGGGCACCTGTACCTCATCTTTTGTATATAGTTCTACTGTCTTCCTATTATGTCCTAGAATCTGTATTGATAAAGCCACTGGATGGCGAAACGTCTACAATAAAGATTTCCAGATGTTGCACATGTGTCTTAACTTTCATATTGTCGGTATTTTATACCTTTCTTGCACAAAGTGATTATTGTGTGAATGATGGTGAAAGAGCTGAATCATGGTGAAAATGTTTTTCTTTCCTTTTTGGGTCACCCTGCCTCAGTGGGAAATGGCCGTTGTGTTGAGAGAGAAAAAAAAAAAAAAAAGGAGGGGGGGGGAGAGAGATTCTGACTCCAGGGAAAATAAAAGCTGCCAAAAATCAACCATTTCCCACCAAACTGATACACATTTCAGGCCCCTTCTGATCTTCAACTGACCAAATTTTGCTTATTTCACCAACGTCTCCTACGAAAACAGCCCTAAAAAATTCCTCAAGTTTCTATTTTTAACCCAAACACAGAGTCAAAGTTTACCTGTTCCAATCATGTACTGCACAAACAGTTAGGTCCAGTGACACAGGCCACTTGCAGAGGTCACCGGACCTAACTGTGACTTCTTTCTTTGGGGGTACATGAAGAGCAGTTTACGTACCACCACTACCTGCAGCCCTGGAGGAGCTGAAAATTTCAATCACTGAAGCAGTTCGCATGATAACACCAGATATGCTGCAAAGCATCTGGACTGAACTGGACTATAGCATCGATGTTTGCCGAGGAACCAGAGGGGCACACATTGAGTGCCTTTAATGCTACCCTATACCACATGAAACTGAAATCCTGCATCTGAAGCTATTAACCGTGAAAGATTACAATAAAGTTACATGTTTTACCTGTTTGAATCAGGGAATGTTTTTGTGGACACACTGTACTATGTAGTGATCCTCAAGGTTTTAAATGGAGTTGAAAATCTAGCTCCAGAAATCCACTGAATGTTTAACCAAATGAGTCATCACTTGAATAAGACCCCTGTTAGGAGACTTTTGTTTCCTGGACAACAAAACTCCAATGATTTAATTGTTAGACCACCCAGCTCTTATAAACAGAAGTGCCTCACTGTAATTAGTGTTATTATAGCAAATCTGTTATGGAGGAATGGTAAGCTGGTCTTTTCACTAACAGTACTATACCTGTTACAGTAACCTGTTTATGGTATGATAATGACTCGATATTATTTCATCTACATTTTGAGAGGTTAATATTTTCTCGACCTTAACAGTGTTGAGCTATTCACTTCACACTGGAAAACTATTGCTTTTTCAAGACACTACTTACCAAGGATAAACCTAAGTGGGTTTCCTGACAACTTCTTAAGTTGTCAGGAAACCCACTAATATACACTACTTTTCTAATCATACAACACAGGTGCATTTATTTTAATCATTGTAAAGCATAAGTCTGTAAGGATTATACAGCACCTGGTAATAGGAAGTATTAAATTTGATCCAAGGCAAGGGAAGACAAGTCTAGTTCCTTGGATCAAAGCTTCTCACCAGCATCAAGGATACATGGATGGGGTGTAGTCATATATTATACAGTTATTTATCAGGGACTGGTATTGAAAAACAACTTATGAAAGCCATTTTTTTTCCCCTGGGGAGCGACACTTCAAGAGGAAAGAGGGCAAGGTGCCTCGATACTGATTAAAGGCTCTTGATCCAAGGAATTTATTGCATCAAATCTGTCTATTCCCCAAGGTGCTGTTTGACTCCTATGAGTATCACTTCCTGAGGAGCAAGGATATCCATTTAGAATATTTCAGAGAGAATGTAGATTGACTTGTATATTTAAGACTTTGGATTTTTTGTTCAGCAACCCAAATATCTGAGACATCGTTTTTATCAATCATAAGAGCCATGAGAATTAATGAGAACCATAAAAATCCCAATAAAGGACTTATCAAGACCCATGGTACTATGATGGAACTGGAGCTACCTTCACTTCCTTCGACTAAATCCAACTACCTCCCATGACCTAGGTGCTGTGTGACCCCCCTAAAGGTTTAGCATTTAACCATAAATGTAATAATAATAAAATTCACCCTATATAATTTTCCTTAGTTTAGAATTTCCACTGTCCTCTACAGAGGACCTGCTTGAGATAGTGGCTCATATGTAAACTGCATAGAGTAACATATCCTGATAAAGATGTATAACTCTGAAGAGGATATGGTGGTGGCATTCAAGAAAGGTTTGGTGTCCTGTAGCTCGATTGCTAACGCATTCAGCTAAAACACTGAGGTGTTTTAGCTGGGGATCCCCCACTCATACTGGGGGATCCCCAGTATGGCTGGAAAACATTAGGACACATTTCCATAAGAGACCTGCTATCCATGTTCACCCATCAGTAAAATGTGTGTTAGTCGACTGGTGTGGGTCGCATCCTGGGATAACTGACCTAATTTGCCCGAACTGCTCTACATAACAAGGGGGCTTTCTATATAGCAGTACGTCACTGATGTCAGCTATGATCTGTATACCTAGTATATGTACTTATAGAAATAATTATTATTAATTATTATTATTAAGGTGTGACAGAGGTATGGAAAGAGAAAGGGCAGTAGGCGAGAGAGCTCCAACATCTCGCAGAAATGTGTAACATTGTTAGATTAGATCGAGTGATTTATTGCATTTAGCATCCTGGTGGTGTGAAAAATTATTTAGCTGCTCGTGTTGAAGGCTGGAATGTAGAGCCAGCTCAAAAGTGGTACGAGGATGTTAAAGTTAGGGGCGATTCCTGCCCGTGGGTTCCTGGTAAGGCTACTAAGGAATTCATATATGTAATGGTTAATTTTTTTTTTTTTTTTTTTTTTTTTTTTTTTTAAATTTTTGGTAGTACCATTAGTTTACCAACCCCCCATGCTATAAAACCACAGTGGAACCTCGGTATACGAGCAACTCCCTACTCGAACAAAGCTCAGCACTTGACCAAACAAACATGACCTGCCAGAATTTTGCTGTAAACTATTTCATGTTTCTTCACTTTTTTTTTTTTTTTTTTTTTTTTTTTTTTTTTTGTATTTACATAAATAAGTCACCATGGGGCCTACGATGATTAGTGATAACAGCCAACCAAACAGAAAATTGGTTGGGAAGAACTTGTTCGATACTCAGAGCGGCACTCAAACAGCCTTCTGGAACGCGTTAAGGTCGCATACCGAGGTTCCACTGTATATTAACTTATAATTAATTACTGTTTATCAGTCATTATAATCAATCCCACCACCTGTTACAGAATCAGTCAACCAAACTTTAAGCAATTTGGCATAACCTTTGTTAAAACAATGAATGAAAACAAACCTCGCAAAAATTATTGTAACCTGTACAGTGTATTATTGATCCCATATAATAAAACTGAATCACTTGAAGCACTTTTAAGACAACTACTGAAACTATACATCTTCATTAGGCAGTACCATTAAAAACAAGCTGTAAAACCTACTACAATATAAAGGAAAATATAGTAGAGGGTTAATCTGATACATCAAATCATATACCAAGGTGTATTTGGCCCACATTTAGATTTTAGCACACTGTTTTAAATATAGTAGAACCCCCATATCAGCCATTTCCCACCAAAGCAGGGTGACCCCCCAAAAAACTCATCACCATTCACTCCATCACTGTCTTGCCAGAGGCATGCCTACACTACAGTTATTAAACTGCAACTTAACACCCCTCCTTCAGAGTGCAGACACTGGACTTGCCATCTCCAGGACTGAAGTCCAGCCTGCCAGTTTCCCCGAATCCCTTCACAAATGTTACTTGCTCGCACACCAATGGCACGTCAAACCATTTGTCTCCACTCGCTCCTATCTAACACGCTCACTCATACTTGCTGGAATTCCAAGCCCCTTGCACACAAAACTTCCTTTACCCCCTCCCTCCAATCTTTCCTAGGGCAACCCTTACCCCACTTTCCTTTCACTACAGATTTATATGTTCTCCAAGTAATTCTATTTCGTTCCATCCTCACTAAATTTCTGAACCATCTCAACCCCTCCTCAGCCCTCTGGATAATAATTCAATTATACTATACTATATATGTATTTTTTTTTAACACTAGCCATTTCCTACCAAGGCAGGATGACCCGAAAAGGGAGAAACATTTATCATCACTCATTCCATCACTGTCTTGCCAGAGGCATGCAGATAATATAGTTAAGGTGAGAAAATGTATAATTAAATTAATGAGATATTGCTTTTTGGTGAACTTGTACAACACGGGACAATTCTCCCCTAATTGACAAAATTACAGAAGAAAAACGCACTGCCAAGAATCTATGTATGACAACAACAAAGAAATTACTGTACAAAAAACATGAAATGAGAAACAACAAGAGGTAGATGTTCGATGTTTTCTGATGCCCGTTGTGTCAGTGAAGTTGTAAATTATCTAACACTGAATAACTTACCCCTACTCCTGAGTATCCAGAGCCATTCATTCCTGGTATGCCATAACCCATGGAGTCTTCTCCTGGTGGCGGAGACATCATGGGACCTGGTGTTCCACTCATGCTGTATGGCGACGCTCCTGCTAAGGTACAATCTATAATGAAATGTGCAGAAAGTATCACATTTAAATATCAGATAGAACTAATCGTGTACACAAAATTATTAACTACAAACTATATTAATCGTTATTTCATTCAAAAAAGAATATGCCAATCTGTCATCCATGAAATAAATTTGAGAAAATGCTCTGTAACACAAAAGCTATTTCATTTTATACAATGGTTAAAAAATTCTTAGAATAGTTGAATGTACTTCTTATCAGCCATTTTTCAGTGTCAAGTTATTTTACACTTAAAAACTTGCAGTACAAAGTATTACAGAGGAAACAATACACAAATATCCCGCAAGTTGGAGAAACAAACTTATGACAATGTTTCAGTCCAATTTAGACTAGTGACTAATCACACCAAGTTAGTCCAAGTCGGACAGAATAGTAGTCATAAATTGCTTTCTCCTATGTGCGGGTTACCTGTGTATTATCGAGAGAAAAATACAAATACTAAATACAAGTAGTGTATTGCCAATGTATAGCATCTTCAAAGAACAAAGCATAAGCTAGAAACAGTAGACAATTCACAGAACGAAAACTCTGTTATCTCCTGTTATTTATGCTGGTGTTGTGTGAGAGAATGGAGGATACAAAACCCTTAATAATATTCACATTCTAATTACAACATTTCCTAGTTAGAAGAAATTCCAGTCAGAAAAGAGATGCTAAACAGTGCACCCATATTCACCATTAATGTCAATGTCACTCTCACTGCTCTTCAGTATAGTACAATAGTAATGTTAAAACTAAATGAAGAAAGCTCAAATCTTTCAACACATTCACTCTCAGGACCTCCAAAATTAAAAGCATTGATAGTGTTGGATATTTTAAAATACCGTATTTCGCAGATTAGACGCATTTTTTTTCCATAAAATGCCTTCAAAAACCACCCTGTGTCCTATAAACTGAAGGTCAGTGATGGGAGCTATAAGTTTGGGGTGTGGGGTGGGCTGTAGCTCTCCCAGTTATGTCTGATGCAGAGCCATTGAAACTAAAACAAATCTTATGAGCCATGAAATATGATAATACATCAAAAGTATTACCGTATTTCAGTATTTCAATACAGTAATACATTTGATGTATTACCATATTTCGGTAATACATCAAATGTATTACCGAATTTTTTTCTGAAGGTAATGATACTAAAATTAGGAAATTTAATGGAAAACTTACAGAATTACGCAGGCAAAAAGTTGGTGGTCTGGACGCAATTTACACACTGATGATTTCGCCTACTTGGAGTCCTATTCTAAGTCAATTCCACTCTCAATTCAACGAAATTCTTAGCTAGTATGGCCTCCATTCTATCAAATGAGTATAAGAAACTGCCCATTCAACAATAAGAACTACTTCAAGTCCATAGAAGTCAGTAATTTGGCCACTTTTATACAATAAAAAAAATCCAATTTAAAAACAATTTGCAATAAACATCAGAGGCATTCCAGCCACTAATGCAATATTTACTGTGTTCATTAATCATGTCCTCAGGGATCTTCTATATTACAGGAATGATTGGACATGACTTACTGTCCCAACAATTGAAACAGACCTAGTAAAAATCCGAAAAAAATAGACAAGAGTTAAAAGTTGGGTGGCCTTTTCCATCTTCAAGATAATTGTCAAAAATTGAATATTTCCACTAGTTTAAGCCCAATTTCAAGCTATAGGCAGGCTCTGCTTTACAGCACATCACTTTATAGCATTTCACTAATAGAGCAATTTCCAATTACGTATACCCATCCTTCATTTAGTCGAGACTTCCTACAAGAAATATATTTGCCACTTACTAAAAGCTAAGGACGAAAATATTTTAAGGTAAGTAATGTATGTAATGTGCATTTTTAAGGCCTCACTATATTGCTCAATATATGATATTGTAAACATGTTATCAGACTTTTATATGCATTTGAAAGTGAGAAAGGCTATGATTCACTTTACAGCAATTTTCACTTTACAGCAGTAACCCAGAACCTAACCTGCTGTATAAGCAGGACCCTCTGTACTTCAAAGCCTGAAGTCAACCAAAATCATCTATTTCAGTAGTAAGTTTTCCATTCTATCAATCAATACCTAGAAACCATAAAAACCATCCTAGAAAACACCTCAAACTTGCTATTTTAAACCATACACAAGGGGCAGGATTTTCTTTACACAATGCACACTCACCATATACTCATTCTCTTGTGTCTGGGCCAAAATTTACCACTCTCAGGTAATCCGAGCAAGCCGAGCTCAAAACGTAGATCTACAAGAGTGACACTAGCACCAATAACATAGACCTACACAAGAGACAGTGAAAGAGTTAAACAACAGAATCATTTTAATTTCCAAATCCACCATTCTAAAAGTTAAACTGTGGCTATACCCAAAAACTTCAAAATTAATCACAAAGTTTTGGCTGGTCCCCTGGACATTTCCATGAGCACTAGATGTAACAATCAGAAATGCCTATAGTTATCAGATAACTAATCCAATAACTGTTCCATACTGAAAACACATATCTCCCTGATCAGCATTAAATTACATGAGTAGTTAATTACAGCTAAAGAGAACAAACTTAAAACAGTAAAACTATTCTCATTAAACATTAATTTTCTTATAATGTTCCAAATGTCAATTTTTTAACATTCCTTTTAACTCTGCCAATAACATTTTCTTTCCGGAGGAACAACGAAGTGCCGATAATTTGATGAGCACGATAATGCTTCCAGAGGATTCTATACTGGAGCAGTGTTTTACCATAAAACAAGAGCAGCTAATATGGACTAAACAGGAAACCCCCACCAATAAGAACGGCCCCACATTCACTACTCGCATTACAATCTGCAGACCAAGAAATGCACAATGAATAGTTTCTTCTTACAAGCCCTCATAGTTTTGAAGTAATGAAGAGACTCAAAAAATAGAAGATTACATAGTGAATATTTTTCTTAGCTTTAAGTATCCTTGCCACATAATCTATTGGAAGTGAAAAGTTGATTCAATAAACAGTACTTCTACCCAGGAAATAGAAAATCCAATAGAAACATGACAAAAGTCAACAATAAGACAATCAAGAACTTCACAAGGACTCCCATAACTAACATGTAGCTGAAAACTGAACGAGTCTACTGAATACAATGTGGTGAACGTGATCAGGTTTATATCTATGCAACTGCCAGAAGTCTCTCAATATAACTGCAAAAATATAAAATATGCTTGTAAAATCAATGATTTAAACTGTGTTCTTCAGAGGGCAATGCAACCATTATTATTACATTCTTGATGCCCATTTGCAATTGCATGAGCAAAACTCTCCTCATGGTTTTCTGCTTTCAGTTTTTAGTTAACTAAATAATTTTCTTAAGCATTCAGCTTCTAACTGAAAGATCTCAGGTTGGATCTTGGCCAAATCTCTCACTTCATTAAGTTATGGTACTGTAGTTTACAACGTGAGGACCTGACCAGTGGCACTGCCAGGTTCTAACATCAAAGGGAGAGACAACATAAACACAACATTATATACAAAACAATGATAAAAAAGTTTTTACTGTAAGAACAATGTTATTTTGGATTTAAGATTATGATTATAATTAAGGGGGAAGCACTAAACCCGTAGGATTATACATCGCCTGTGGGGGGATGTGGAAGGTATTCAGGTTTAATTCAGGGAACTGGAGCACAGATCCAATTCCCCAGATCAAGAGCCCCTCACCAGCATCAAGGAACCTTCCTTGAGGGATTTGTATTTAAGAGTAAAACTTAATATAACAAGTGTTATTTACTAATTTCATAACAAATATAAAAAAATACAAAACATGAATAATGGATATTTAATTATAATCATAATTAAGCGCTAAACCCATAAGGGTCATAAAACAATCTTTTTAACGACTTACTTTCTCTTAATACTGAAGCTCAGAACACAACCATCCTCTAACTGCTGTACTTATTAACATTAATTAGGGGAGCTAAACCTGTTGGGGCCATATACTGCTTGAAATGGGAGGTGTTCAGATTCGATCCAAGGAAGGTATGGGTAAATCCACTTCCTTGGATCAAGAGGGGTTGGTTAATGAGGGTTAAAGCCTATCAACTACACGAAGGGTGTATATACTGAGACATACTTCTAGGTGTATATCTTGGATCAATAGTGTATCTGGGATCAAGAGTGTCTATCTGGGATCAAGAGTGTATATCTGGGGTCAAGAGTGTATATCTGGGGTCAAGAGTGCATATCTTGGATCAAGAGTGCATATCTTGGATCAAGAGTGCATATCTTGGATCAAGAGTGCATATCTTGGATCAAGAGTGCATATCTTGGATCAAGAGTGCATATCTTGGATCAAGAGTGCATATCTTGGATCAAGAGTGCATATCTTGGATCAAGAGTGCATATCTTGGATCAAGAGTGCATATCTTGGATCAAGAGTGTATATCTTGGATCAATAGTGTATATCTTGGATCAACAGTGTCCATCTGGGATCAAGAGTGTATATGTTGGATCAACAGTGGCTATCTTGGATCAACAGTGCTTTCTTGGATCAATAATGGCTATCTTGGATCAATAGTGTATCTGGGATCAAAAGTGTATATCTTGGATCTATAGTGTCTATCTGGGATCAAGAGTGTAAATCTGGGATCAAGGGTGTATATCTTGGATCAATAGTGTCTATCTTGGATCAATAGTGTCTATCTTGGATCAATAGTGTCTATCAGGGATCAACAGTGTATATCTTGGATCAAGGGTATATATTGGATCAAGACTGTATATCTTGGATCAATAGTGTCCATCTTCGATCAATAGTATCCATCTTGGATCAATAGTATCCATCATGGATCAATAGTATTCATCATGGATCAATAGTATCCATCATGGATCAATAGTATCCATCATGGATCAATAGTATCCATCATGGATCAATAGTGTATCTGGGATCAATAGTGTATCTTGGATCAATAGTGTCTATCTTGGATCAATAGTGTCTATCTTGGATCAATAGTGT